TGAAGACAATGAACAGACCCCAAAAAGGATGAAGACGAAAAGGGTTGGTGTACTAAACATCTCTTTTCACTTGAGCTAATCTCGATTCACTGCATTGAATCGAGATTCACTACAGTAAACATCTTGGTGTACTAAACATCTTTAATTTTTTTTTGTGTATTCAATGATGGATAATTTGATCTAATTATATTATTTTTCTCGCTGATGAAGGTTGTGAAAAAAAAAATATGTGAGGTCCAACAGTAATGATGACCTCGTCAACTCCCCAAATAATCCTGCCGGTGATGAAACATCAAAGCGTAGGAGGGATGAAGACAATGAACAGATCACAAAAGAAAGGAAGAAGAAGAAAAAGGTTGGTGTACTAAACATCTTTATTTTTTTTTGTATTAACTGATGGATAATTCTATCTAATTATATTTTTTTTTCACTGGAGAAGTTTTTGAAAAAAAAATGTGAGGTCTGAACCTAAGGAGTTGACTAGGATACGGGTCTCTCCAAAGATATTCTCTGATATGGTTTTGTCACTCTCTGACTCCCAAAAAGAATGGGTGAGACTAGCTGGACTTGGAGGTCTTTTACAATTTGGATTAAAGGAACTGCCACATATGTTGGGGTACCAGATTCTGCAGTCCTTTGACAGTGAATCCGTTGCGCTTAATCTTCCCAGAGGATCAATAAGTATCACAGAGGAAGATGTACATCAAGTGATGGGATTACCTCTGGGCAGGAAGCGTATACCAGCCTCCAGTATTGGGAAGTCAGCTTTAGTGGATGAATGGAGGGCTCAATTCACAGACAGATTTGGTTGGAAAATTACTCCAGGGGCTGTGTCTAAGAAACTAAAGCAGAGTTCTGATGTTAACCTGTTTTTTAAACTCAATTTCTTGGTTCTCTTTCACAATAGCATGATCCAGTCACTTAGCAATCTGTATGTCAACCAACAGATTCTAGTTCTTGGTGACAATGTTGATCAGTGCTCTGAATACAATTGGTGTTCTTTCTTGCTTGACTCAATGATAGAAAGCCAACACAAGTGGAAGGTTGACCCGACAAAACAATTCTACACGGGTCCTCTTGCATTCTTGATTGTAAGTCACTTGTATAATATTGATTTGTTTTTACATTACTGTAGTTAAAGTAGTTTTACTTGTTGATTAATTCTAATTGATGTGCTTTATTTCTTATCTCCGTCTTTGTAGCTGTTCTATGCCGACCGGGTTCTGTTCAAAGGGAGGAGGTTGGTTGAGAGAACAACACCTACATTTTTAGGCTGGACTGACTTGGCCTTGAAGGAAAGACAGTCAGAGGAAATAAGTACAAATTCATTTGGCAAATGTGCATTTACAGAGAGGGTTGAACTTGCACCTTCATCTCGAATGCAGATTGCTATTGGAAACTCGCCTAAAAGTGTTGATACAATTAGAAAGGTTAGCAAATTAAGTTGCAAGTCTTTGTTTATTCAATTTAATCTCAATTCAGTAGGAGTGAATCCAGATTCACTTAAAATGAATGTCGATTCAGTACAATGAATCGTTTTACTAGTAATGAATCTCGTTTCAGATCAGTCATTATCGATTAAGTTAAATTGAATTCCGATTCACGTAAGTGAATCTGGATTCAATGATACCCAATATCAATTTACTGAAGTGAATCTGGATTCACTACTACTGAATCTCGATTCACTAAAGTGAAACTGGAATTATTTTACTCGACTCTGGATTCAGTCATTTGAATCTTGATACAAATACATTGAATGTTAATAATTTATGGTGACCAATGTCTGTGATATTAAAACTGCAGGATTGTATTAAGAGGGTTCAACGGAGAGCTGCAGAGTTGGAATCTGCAAAAGATAGATATGATGCTGAGTGTGAGACAATGAGAAAGCTGTTCCCCAATGACAATGAGCTCTTTCAAATTCAACAGAGAGTTTCAAATGTTCTTGTGAGAAAGCTGTTCCCCAATGACAATGAGCTCTTTCAAATTCAACAGAGAGTTTCAAATGTTCTTGTGCAGGAGTGTGGACATCGTGTAAGTACCTTTGACGATGAAACAACTGTGGGAAACATTGTTGATGATACCCCTAATGTGAACACCAAGGTGAGTAGAGATATGCATGGTTCCCCTGCTGTTGATCCAATATCAGCTGAGATACCACAAACACAAGTCTCCCCAAAGTTTATTCAAGAAGTTGATAAGATTATAGAGTCTGTTAGCATGAAAAAGGTTGACAGACCAGTGAGGCGGAAGCTCAACGAATGTGGTACCCCACTGACTGAAGAACCTAGTTTTTCTCTTGGGCTGACACAGGATACTCAGACTGAGACAGTGGAAATGGTTGATGTTGTTCAGATTGCTAAAGCTTGTGAATCTGAAATCATTGAAGAATCTGTACGAAAAACTGATAAAGAAGCTAAAGATGCTGCTACAGTAGATGAATGTAAAGGTAAGAAAGTTCAGGTGACCGAAAATAAGGGACATACGGGAAGGGGGAAAGAAAAAGGATGGTGAAGCCTGCAACGTCTCTTCGGTCACCATGGCTGCAGAGGGTATCTCAAATTACTGCTAGGCAAAGTCAGCTGGAAAGCATCATATGGAATTGGGTACATAGAGAAGAAGCAAGGCATTCAGGAGATGATTCTGCTGAAGAAGAGAATTTGTGAGTTCTTAAATCTTATTTGATATGCTATTGTTGGTTGTGAGACTCACTGTTTTTAGTATTTTGTCACTTTATTAAATTGAATATTGTTACTGTTTTTTCAGTGAAATTGTTTTTAAGTGGAGACAAATTAAATGTTTCTTACCTGCTTTCAAGACTTTCCTTCCTACTGATTACATTGAGGCAAATGTAATCAGCATTTGGTCCTATATTTTGAACAGCAGAGAAAATATGAAGTCCGACAATTCTTGAGGCAAATGTAATCAGCATTTGGTCCTATATTTTGAACAGCAGAGAAAATATGAAGTCCGACAATTCTCCACTTAGATTCTTCTGCAATGTTGAGACAACCGTACGTATCTTCCTTTATTTTATTTAAAATAACACTTGAGTTACATCTTATTTAACCAGTTTTATGTTGTACAGTTTTGCAACATTCATCACACAGATGAGGCTAATGATGAATTGAGATACAGTCGGTTTGCTTCCCGACAGTTTTGCAACATTCATCACACAGATGAGGCTAATGATGAATTGAGATACAGTCGGTTTGCTTCCCGTATGGATGAGCAACTTACTCTGTATCCACATATGAAGTTTAATGAGATTGATATGGTAAAGAATCGAAGACCATGTTTTTGTTCTTTAACCCAATTTTAACTATATATGTAAAATCTCTGATTAAATTTCACAACCATTAGGTCTTCTTCCCCATAAATACGTTTGAGCATTTCTACATTGTGTGCTATGGGCTAAAGAATCCAAGTATGGAGCTGATTGACAATAGCAAAAACTACCCAGACTTTAAGGAAAAATACCAAGGTCGTCCTGAGGGTTTGGTATGTTTTTCCACCTTACGTATGTTCTTTAAAGATTTACTGGCAGAATACAGTAATAAGTGAATATGGATTCACTAAAGTGAATCTGGATTCACTATAGTGAATTTGGATTCACTTTCGTGAATCCGGATTCACTAGAGTCAGAGAATAACAGATTTGCTAACTCTAGTGAATCTCGATCACTAGAGTTAGTGAATCTGGATTCACATGTTACTATGAATCACGATTCACTAGAGCTAGTGAATCTGTTTTCACATCACGTAATCACGATCCACTAGCTATAACTATTGATCTGAAATCTCGATCAATAGAGTTAGTGAACCTGGATTCACATCTTACTATGAATCTTGATTCAATAGAGCTAGTGAATCTGTGTGAACATCACGTAATGACGATCCACTAGCTATAGCTAATTCTAGTGAATCCAGATTCACTAGTGTGAATCCAGATTTTTTTAGAGTGAGTCCAGGTGAACTAACTCTATTAAATCCTATCGAGATAGATGCAATGAATTGTGATTCACTGTCATTAATATTGTTTCCATATAAACAACTAAAAAAATTTGTATATTACATTAAACATTACTTTATAATAAATTGGATTTGTTATGTGACACTGATTACTTTTGATTAAACAACACCAGAATTTTGTGAGATATTTGGCACACAAAAAACATCACAAGGCGAGTGAAATAAATACATTAACGCCTGATAGACTTGAGATGGAGTGGAGAACAACCAAAAACAAATTTGATTGTGGTATTTTTGTCATGAGACATATGGAGACATACATGGGCAGTGGTACAGCAAATTGGAATTCTGGTTTTCATAGAGAGGGTGTAAGTGTTTAGAATATAGCTACTGAATCTAATAAGATTTACAGTTAGTCTTTTTGAATTAATAAAATTTAGAATATAGCTACTGAATCTTGAACTGAACTTTTGTTCATATCGACAGGAGTGATTAAAAAATCAGCTACATAGACTGAGGTCTATATACTGTTGCCAAATTCTTACTGAACCAACAAATGAATTGGCCAAAGAAGTCATCAGCAAAGCCCAACAGCACCATGCTGAAACTGCAAATGTCAAAAAAGAGACAAGGAAAACCACAAGATCTCAAAGAAAATGATATTCTGTAATCACCATAATTTACAATGTTGAAGTTTACTGTTATTGAGTACATTGTCACTTAATGTTATAGAATACTCCAGTTTGTGTTGAACTGCTTTTCTATGTAAATAGACTTTATAAGAATAGCTTTGTCATAGTTTTATATCTAGATTTGTGAATAGTTTGGATATATGAAAATACTGTGAAGGCATTCAATGCAATTGGAAGAATTTCGATTTAAGCAGAGAATGTGATTTATATTTCAAGGTTTTATGTAACATAAAATAAATTAATCATACTTATTGTGGATTGTATGTATTTAATCTGGAATCACTGTTTCAATATTATCTTAAGTTATTACTAATTTATTTGATTGAAACTAGATTCACTATACTGAATCTAGATTCAATGCAGTGAATCTCGATTCACTACACTGAAAAATTCAGTAAGTCAATATTAACTTAAGTGATTCAGTAATTTATTTAATTGAAAATAGATTCACTATAGTGAATCCATATTCAGTTCAGTGAATCCAGATTCACTAAAATAAATTTATATTCATTATAGTTAATCCAGAATAACTTAAACCGAAATAATCAAATAATTTGATTGTTGGAGATTCAATATCAGTGAATCTAGATTCACTACAATGAATCAGTGAATCTAGATTCACTACAATGAATTCAGATTCAATATAGTTAGTCCAGAATCACTTAAAGCGAATAAAATTTAAACTGATGACTGCATTTAACTACTTTATCATTCCATTTGAAATAATACAACTAATAATAATGGAATTCTCATGCTATATGAGAAGATCTCAATTCAATATACTAACATGACACAACGTAACCATGTAATTAATAATCTAGTAAATATATGTAGTTAAGAATTACACAATTCAGCAATTTTAATAAGAAATATATTTCTAAACATGATTTTGAAATGAAATATGACAACTTAATTAAACATCACTCTGCTGTATTGTTTTCTTTAATGGGCATGTCCGTGCGTCATGGAAATCGATTTTTTTGCATATATTACACAGCCTTGGAACCTTCTTCTTTCGTTGACTAATTGATTTCTCATAATCACCAACAATTCTCCGTCCACACCCCTTGTTTCTACCTTCAATGGGAGGTTTAACGATAACTTCCGCTGGTATTTTTGAGCCAACAAAAAACTCCATTACATCATTTTTGTTCTGTGTGTCAGATTTCAAACTAGATTCACGCAAACTGTGCTTCAACTCCTTCAACTTCCCTTCCAGGTAGTCAAGTCTCTCACCATCTAAACCTGCCAAACTCACACAGGATTGGAAATCATACCATATGTCATTCAACTTACGATTTGTAACTTCAATTGCATTACATTGTTCTGATATTTCCTTGAACTGCAATGAATGCCTCATTTCAGCACCTTTTGTCCATCGGTTCACAACAAGATGTCTTGGTATTTTTGTTACATCAGCTTGGTTAAGTGCAAAAAAACCATGCCTACATACTATACCCATTTTCTCAAACAGCCTACACATACATTGCACGTCATTGTTCAAATAAGCATGTTTCACCTAAAATTCAAAAAACAATGTATATTAGCACCGAATAAAAAAAGAAAATGACAAGCGAATGAAATGGTCACTGAATCTCGATTCAGTGGTGTGAATCGCGATTCACTTCGTTGAATCGCGATTCACTGCATTGAAACTGGGTTCAATTTTTATTGTTTCAATCTCCATTATTAAGTTTTACCTCAAATATTTTTCCATGTCTCTTTTTGTCTTTTAAGGAAAAAATCTTCACACCATCTTCTTCTGATATACTGTTGATACTCATATCATAACAGGATGACATTATCTCTTTCTGTACCTCATAAAACATTGTTCGAGTGTACAACTCTGCTGCATCCCTCTCCAATAACAATGGCCCGTCCATTCTTGGCATCGACTTCGTTCCTTCATAGTTTAATCTTGCGTTTGTATGCCTTTGCTTCTCCATAGCACTCTCGTATCGGAGATAAAATTCTGTCAATGTGTCAGATCTACGGTTGAATTTGTCAAAAAAACTGTTCTCACTCTCTGATATTGATGTAGTACGCAATAAACCAGCCAATGGATCATCAGCATAATAGGCTGGAATCCATGACTCCCGAATGTTATACAGTTCACACAACCATTCATTACTTTCAAGCTTATATTCTTTAATAACATCTTTCCAACCTACTTCAAATGTTGCCGGATCTATATCTATAATCCAAATCAGTGCATTTATTTTCCTCTTGAAATCATCCATCTTCGAAATGCATTTTGCCAACTACAATATAAATATATAACGAAAGATTCAGTATTTATCTAATGAGGATTCATTATATTTATATGTGGGATTCAATTACCTTTTGGTTAAATTTCTTCATGATGTGCCACATGCACAAACGGTGACGTGTTTCTGTAAAGACGGTTGGTATAGCTTGCTTCATGGCAGGGCACTGATCTGTAACAATACACTTTGGCTCGCGAATCATGCATTTCATGAATACCTCAAAAATCCAGACATAGTTATCAATGTCCTCTTTAGCTATCAATCCTGCTGCAAATACAACACACTTCTTATAATTGTCGAGACCAGTAAATAAAACAAACTTTATGTTGTACCTACTGTATCTCATACAAAAAATATAAGATTCACTATGATATATAATAACAATATTGAAAATCATAAGAGATTAACTATAAGATCTTACTTGTTTGTGGAATATGTAGAGTCAAATGATATCACATCTCCAAATACATCGTAATTTCTTCGTCTAATAACATCTGTCCAAAAGATGCGAGTTAATCGACCATCTTCATCGACTGCATAATCATCGAAAAATCCATCACTCATCTCCTTCTTATCCGTGAACTTCTCGATGATCATTTGAGCATCTCGATCACCAATATAAAGCTTCACATACCTACTCCAATTTTTAAACTCGGTACACGTAGCACCAACATTAGAATAACTTCCACATAACTCCTTAGCAAAGTTATATGTTTTGTTAGGCCCCATGTTGGCTTTTGCTCCATCAAATACAAGCTTCTTATAAGCGAGACCGAGAACTCTATTTGACTTCAAAAATTGTTTCCCACTACCGGAGACCAAAAAATGAGAATGCTCTTCAACAAAGGAGAGAACATTATATCATTTCAAACCATCAAACTTAAAAACGACTTTAGCTTTGCAACCACATCTACTAGATACAGTTCTCCTTCTCTTTTTCGAACTGCTACTAAAATCCTCATAATCAACATTCATCTTTGATTCATTGCGGCCAGCTATACTGCAAACAATGTGTTTAAGAAGAACTGTACCGTCCTCATGTTTCTTCTCTGTATGACGTCTGATCTCAAACCCACTTTTACGTCCATAATCTCGGTAAAACTCTATACCATCCTCTAGTGATCGGAAGCTTTGGTTTATATAAGGTTTAAATTCAGCTTCAACCCTAGGTTTCCAATACATACCACCACCTGGTGATTGAAAAGGAATCGAGCTAACTTCGTCCATTCCATCTTCCCCAAAATCACTGTCCGATACATTTATAACATGTGGTTCCTTTATTTGTTCATTGCTGCCTACAACTGAAAATAAAAGAACATAAATAATATGTCTATGTTTTTATATACTGAATCTGGATTCATCGCAATGAATCTGGATTCACTGGAGTGAATCTCGATTCACTAATTTGAGTACATATGGTTTATATGGTTAAATTCAATGCAGTGAATCTCGATTCACTAATTAAACCTGTAGTGAATCTGGATTCAATGCATTGAATCCAGATTCACTACATTAAACATGTGAATACATTATGAAAATCAATGCATAATCTAACAACTAGAACGTGTTCAACTGAATTCAAGCTCTCCAACTAAATTTACATAAAATGTTTATGAATGTAAACTCGTAGATAATAAGTCATATGACTAAGTTTTGATATACTGAATCTGGATCCATTACAATGAATCTAGATTCACTAGAGTGAATCGAGATTCACTTGAGTGAATCTTGATTAACTGGAGTGAATCTTGATTCACTGCATTGAATGCATGTTATTGCTAATTAATCTGGAGTGAATCTCGATTCACTGTATTGAATCCAGATTCACTACAGTAAACAAGTGAATAAATTATGAAAATCACTGCATTCTATAACAATGAATCTCGATTCAATGCAGTGAATCTAGATTAACAACTAGAACGTGTTCAATTGAATTCAAGCTCTCCATTTAAATCTCCAAAAAATATTTAAGAATGTAAGATCCTATATAATAAGTCATATGACTAAGTATTGAAATACTGAATCTGGATCGATTACAATGAAAACATGCATGAACCTGCTCACCTGAATTCAAGCTCTCCATTTAAATCTCCATAAAATGTTTAAGAATGGCCAGATAATTGACGATGAACGAGAGAGCTCAAATACGTTGAAGGATAGATGAACGAGAGAGCTGAATGACAGATTAACGAGAAAGCTAAAGGACGATGAAGCTGGTTGTGGAGAAAGAGCTGAAGGCCGATGAACGAGAGATGCTCGTTGTGGAGTGAGAGGACTACTGTTCGTGACTGTTGGGTTGCCTGATCCATGAGATTGCATGGGGAAATGGAGAACTCAGTAGACAAGAATTAATTACCTCCCTTTAGGGGCTGTTTATTTTACCTGATTACCCTTATGCAGATTTAATCTCAGCCATTGGATGAATCCAGATCCAATGGAGAGGATTGGTTTTTAGTTTTTAGGATAGTAAGGTTTTTATTTGAACCTCTCCCTATATATATATATATATATATATATATATATATATATAACATAACGTATCATGATAAGTATTCACGCAAATACTTTTCAATCAAAGTAAGGTAGTTACAAAAAAAAATCATAATTTTTGAATATACGTATATAACATCCTCACTTTTTCTAGGAATTCTTATTAGGCTTTATACATGATTCCTAGGAAACTCTATTCTAGCTCCACGACTCGACACAGGATGATCCTAAGGATATTGGAACTAGAGCTCTGATACCAACTGTGACGCCCATGTTTTCACACATGACTGCAGTCCAAGGTGAACCCAGAGATGTCAAACCTACCATGCACCCATACTATGCAACAACACGTTTCACCATCACAGTAATATCTCTCTAGTGGAATAAAGTAAAAGTGCAGGTAGAAAACAGGCAAAATGAGAAAAAATAAATACAATAGACATGATGTAGAACGAAATATCTCATAAATATAATCATGTCTCAAATGAATAAACTGGAATACATCTGATATCTGAAATAACTGTGAAATGTCTCAATATGAGTCAACTAAAAATAGTATTGAGGCACACTGCCTTTACAAGATGGAATACAAAACTCTAATGTCTAAAATAAAACATAAAACTACGGTGGAGTCTCAACTACTAAAACTATGTGACGACGACTATGCTAGAATTCCGTCATCCTATGGCTCTACGAAACTCTAAGATGCTACCTGAAAGGAAGTTAAAATAAAAAGAGAAACAACAAGAGCGTCAGAGCGCTACAGCAAGTTTACCTCCATCCGCCCCTAGGGGAAGGGCTACTAGATGTAATGGATTCTCTATCTATTAAGCATAGTCTACCTAGATTATTTTTCCCATATCTAATGGAATTAATAGTTAGAAATTTATAACACAAGACGTAATACGTCAAGCGAAATAATCCAAACAAGGAAACTCTCATGTATATACCATATGTCTCAAATTGTAGATAACTAAATATTAACCCCGGACTAAGAATGGAACAAAGCAATACAGGATAATAATGACTTCATAATGAACATCAGCATATGTAAATCTCATGTACTCGCAAGAACAAGGTATCTCAGTCATATATATGTCTCAACAAATAAGTCGTCATGATGTAATCTCATGCAATATTCTGATTCATCGCATTACTATACACAACAGACTACCCAATAAGTATCCTAAATAGTGTACACAACTCATTAGTCTCATCGCGATCTCAATGCATAACATGAGTACGAGACGACCTACCATATAGGTATCCTCAAAGACGGCTCACAGGCCTCATCGCACCCAAGTGCGGACGGACTGCTAGACAAAGCATCCAAACTCGACTCAATGGCCTGTACAAATGGAATATCAATGCACTACCCCACATAGTACTGAACTGAGTTTATCAACGATATCCATCTCGTGTATAAACTGTGTATATCTGGTATATCGACGCACTATCAAAAATAGTACTGAGCTGTGCCCATCAACGATATCCAACTCATGCATGTAAATAAACCTCTAACTCAAGTGTAATCAATTCAACACTTGTTAAAATCCCCTTTTGAAATACTCATATGTGTACTACGATACTATTAATGTGTGTTCATGTCTATACGTGTGTCATCGTACGGCTCGAACCCCGTGTTCACGATTTAAACGTACAAAAGAAAATACCTCAAACAAAAGAACATACGTATCGTATCGTGAATAGTACCATATGCATGAATAGTGACCGTACTTATAAATAGTAACAATACTTATGAATAGTACCCATATGCGTAAACAACAACAGCACGTATGAATAGTATCCGTACGTATGAATAGTATCATACGTATTAATAGTAATAATACTTATGAACAGTACTGTACCCATAAATAGTAATAGCACCGTACGTATGAATAGTATCCGTGCTTATGAATAGTACCGTACATATGAATAGTAATAGTACTTATGAATAGTACCGTACATATGAATAGTACTGTATTTATGAATAGTATCGTACGTATGAATAGTACTTTATGTATGAATAGTACTCTTATAAATAGTAATAATATTTCCAGCGGTAGACATGTACATATAGTTCTAGCTAGCAATATCATGTCTTTAGGAATTTGGTCTTATATTCTATTCATCAATATCATGTCTTTCATCAATATCATGTATATTCATCAATTTTCATCAAGATCAAAATTTACTGGGGATAAGTTTGAAAATAGATGAACTTGTATTTATTGATCTCTGAAATTAGAATCCCTATCCGTTCCTGTTCTTCGAATTGCCAAAATCTCCTCACTCTTTTCCTCACTTTTCTTCCTCTTTGTCTCTGTCTCTCTCTCTCTCTCTCTATCTCTCTCTCTCTTTTTCTATTCCATGCCCCAAGGAATGCCTAAAGAAAATAAAAGGTGTATTCCATATTTATATACAGACTTTTTTCTATTCCATGCCCCAAGGAATGCCTAAAGAAAATAAAAGGTGTATTCCATATTTATATACAGACTAAAGATTACGTAGTTTTTGGTATTAATTGCATTTCATCGTTCGTCTTAGAACTTCGAAGCAAAAAATAGGAAAAACGAATTGATCTGGATCCTATTTTCTTTTTTTGTATTTCAGCTTATTCAAATGAATAATTAATAGGAAAAACGAATTGATCTGGATCCTATTTTCTTTTTTTGTATTTCAGCTTATTCAAATGAATAATTAGAAATCAATATAATGTAACGATTAGATGGATGAAAATTTATATATTCCATTTACTTGACTTTATAGAATTGGCGTCAATATAATGTAACGATTAGATGGATGAAAATTTATATATTCCATTTACTTGACTTTATAGAATTGGCGACATCGAGGTGAGTAGGGACCTAAAAGATTGAATGGAACAAAACAATATATAGACAAGTAAATCCCTTACGAGTCCAAAACTATTCCTTTAACTTTAAGGGGATTCATCATTTGAAGGGAAGTAGACTACTCAATAATTTCACATTTCAATTTTGTCCTAAATAAGTCATTCAGAAAGTTAAAAAGTGAAAGTCAAAAGAAAAATGAATTAATGAAAGGTTAGTCCTTGCTGGGAACTTGAGTTAGGAGTAGTTTTTTGGAGGGTTTTCTCTCTCTCTTTCTCTTTCCTCTTTCTCTTTCTGTCTTTCTCTTCGTTGTGCCCAGAACTCTCCCCCCTCCCCTTTTTATAACAAATAATAATAATAATAACTCTAAATGGTTGGTGGCACAGGGCGGAGGTTGGTGGCACAGGTAAGTTTATATATTATATATTATATTATTTAAAAAAAAGGATTTCGGGGTCCATTTCTAGAAAGCAGTGAAAATTTACCCACAATACCATCTCAACATTATAAGACCAATGGAATAATCCTTATGTCTATCTGATCAACAGAAAAATTACTAAAAATAAAATAGTATCGGTTTTCAATAGACTCGCAATACCGAGGCTCAAACTGCGAATCGATCTCAAATCGATTCCAATCTGATCCATTCATCCCAGAATGATCACCAATCATAATCGATCTCAAATCGATTCCAATCTGATCCATTCATCCCAGAATGATCACCAATCATAATAAAACTCATTTATTATCATTTACATTCATCCCAGAATGATCACCAATCATAATAAAACTCATTTATTATCATTTATAATAATATTTTTAAAAATTTTGAGGTTTTACACCAGAGTAGTCTCAGAGTATCAGGATGTCTTTCAGGACATACTTGGATTGCCTCCAGTAAGAGATGTTGAGTTCTGCATCGAGTTACAGCCGGGCATAACACTAATATCCCGTGCACCTTATCGTATGGCACCTGCTGAGATGAGGGAGTTACAGACTCAGTTAGAGGAGCTCATTTCTCCTGGGGGGCACCGGTCCTTTTTATAAGAAGAAGGATGATAGCCTTCGTTTGTGCATTGATTATCATGAGTTAAATAAGTTCACAATCCAGAACATGTATTCGTTACTGAGAATTGATGACTTATTCGACCAGGTGCAGGGAGCGCAGTGTTTCTCAAAGATTGATCTTCAATCTGGCTATCACCAGTTGCACATACAGGAGATGGATATTCTCAAGATCGTATTTTTGACTCGGTGTGGGTCTTTTGAATTTCTTCTTATGCCATTTGGGCTAACTAATACACCAGCAATATTTATGGATATGATGAATCGGGTTTTTCATCCGTATTTAGACCAGTTTGTGATTATTTTCATCGATGACATCCTCATCTACTCAAAGTTAGAGGCCAAACATGAGCAACATCTTCGTTTGGCATTGTAGACTTTGCGAGAGCACCGATTATATGCTAAGTTTAGCAAATGCGAGTTTTGGCTTTCAGAAGTCAGATTTTTAGGCCACGTCATAGCAAGGAGTGTATTAAAGTTGATCCAGCTAAAGTTGAGGCAGTTCTTGATTGGGAGCCGCCAAAGACCGTTACAGAGATTCATAGCTTCTTAGGACTTGTCGACTACTATAGGAAATTCATTCAGGATTTTTTCAAGATTGCTACCTCGCTGACACGTCTTAGGAAGAAGGGTGTTCAGTTTGTTTGGGGGTCAGAGTGTTAGAAAGCCTTTGAGA